TCACAGATGAGGAAGAGAAGAGACAAAAGGAGAAGGAGGAGGGGGAGGGGGAGGAGAGCAATAAAGAGGAGGGGGAAGAGAGGGAGGAAAGAAGGAGGAGAAGGGGGACAGGGAGGGAGAGGAGAGCTAAAAGGAGGAGGGGGAAGAGAAGGAAGAGGGTAAGGTTGAGGGGGAGAGGAGGAGAGTATAGAAGAGGGGAAGAAAAGGAAGGAGAAGGAAGAAGAGGAGAGAAAGAAGGATGAGAAAAAGAAGAGAGAAGGGGAGGAGGAGGGTGAAGATGAGGAGAAGAGTGGAGGTAGGAGGAAAATGGGCAGGTCTAGTCAGTCTTTCTAAGCTGACAGGTCTCTATGGTCCTAACCAGCCCAGTTCTCCTTCCTCATGGTCCTCCCTGTGGCTCTTGGTGTCCATGCCCCATATGCTGGGTCTCCTCTCAGGGACCTTTCCTCTGGGGAGGCCTCCAGAGCCCCTTCAACGATCTGCACACCGAGTCCCTCTGCCCCTTATATTTTTGTGTGGGATTATTTTGTAATGTCTGTCCTCCCCTACCAGACTCTAGAGCTGTCCGATGAAACCACAAATGTGAGCCACATGAATTTTAATGTGCTAGTTACATTAACTTTTCCACTATATATTTTAAAAGTTTACAGGTGAAATTAATTTCAGTAATATATCATATTTAACTCAACACGTCCAGAATGTTTCAATAGGTAGTTGATTGTTGACGTATTTATGAGCTATTTTGAATACTATTCTCACTCTAAGTCTGAAATTTGACACTCACAGCACGTCTCCATTCAGACCAGCCACACTTCAAGTGCCCATTGTGGCTGGTGGGGGCCCTCTAGACAGCGCGGGTCTAGAACAGGGGTGGGCAAACTTTTTGACTCGAGGGCCACAATGGGTTCTTAAACTGGACCGGAGGGCCGGAACAAAAGCATGGATGGAGTGTTTGTGTGAACTAATATAAATTCAAAGTAAACATCATTACGTCTCCGTTCAGACCAGCCACACTTCAAGTGCCCATTGTGGCTGGTGGGGGCCCTCTAGACAGCGCGGGTCTAGAACCTCAGGCCTTCATCTCCCTCGTGTCCCTGGCACTCAACACATCCTCAGGATATATGTGTACACAAATGAGTGAACTGGAAGTCCCTGAAGAACGGAGCGTACATAGAAAAATGTGACTAAAAATAGTGAAATTGAAGGTCATTTTAATTCACCTCTTTATGAATTCTTATATTTTTCAAATTTCCTAGTGACTATATACCTTTTTTTTTAATTAGCAAAAATAATAATAGCTACTTTAAAAAGTAACCCACCAAGAACGCGTGGCCCAGGCTGAGCTAACACGGCTGTGCTCTCACCATTTTCCAGGCGATCGAAACAAGGAGAAGGAGGACGGAAACGAGACAGTGCACGAGGTGGAGGTGATTATAAAACACAAAGAGTTTGACAATAAGACCTTTAACTGTGACATCGGCCTCCTCAAGCTGAAGACGCCCATCAAATTCCGCATGAACGTGGCCCCTGCTTGCCTGCCAGAGAAGGACTGGGCCGAATCCACCCTCATGACGCAGAAATCAGGCATCGTGAGCGGCTTCGGGCGCATCCACGAGATGGGCCGCCCATCCGTCACCCTCAAGATGCTGGAGGTGCCCTACGTGGACAGGAACACATGCAAGCTGTCCACCAGATTCATCATCACCTCAAACATGTTCTGCGCCGGCTATGACTCAAAGATCGAGGGTGCCTGTCAGGGGGACGACGGGGGTCCCCATGTCACCCGGTTCAAGGACACCTACTTTATCACGGGCATCATCAGCTGGGGAGAAGGATGTGCACGGAAAGGAAAGTTCGGGGTCTACACCAAAGTCACCAACTTCCTCAATTGGATCGAGAGGTCCATGAAAATACCAAGACCAGGCCCCAGGGTGAGCCGGAGGTCACTGCCACACCTGTCATTAGATTAATGCCCTCCTCCCTCCCCCGCCCCCAATACTCCTGGCAGCCATTGGTGTCTCATTGTGTGTTAACACGTGCCAGTCTGAACAGGCTGAATCCTGGAGTAAGTTTCCTCTCTGCTGCGATTGTGTTGGTTCCTCAGCCTGACCTTGCCCTTGCTCGAGTGAGGTGGGAAATGAAATTGTCATTCTGAACACTGGGCCTGCTTTTCCCTGCCTGGTTGGAAGCTTCCTCCTAGAAATGATATACTTTACAGAACAGGGGTTCACACTCCCCCAATGACTCTCTGCTCAAAACCGTGGGGGGCCCATTCCATTCATAGCACGTTTAACTGTTTCTGATTGTCCTAAACTGCCCTCTGGGCAGGCCACACTCAGGACCCTTGAGAATAAATGATCAAGTTTCTGGAAGCAGAGACAAGGCGCAGCAAGGGTGGCCGCACCCCGGGGTCGGGGTGGGTTCTCCTCCAGGTCCAGCATAGCCTCTCAGGCCTGTGGTTCACCTGGGACAGAGACAAGGGTGGGAGTGTGTCCCCCAGGGGCTTCCTGTGAAAGGCAGAGACTCCCTGGGAAGGGGAGGCCCAGAGAGCTGCTCATTGGCAGGGCATTTTAACATTGACTTAACCACTGGCTCTTCTTTCTGGCTTCATGCTAGAATTACCTGGGGTACTTATATTTTGTTTTTGTGTGTGTGTTTTTTAATCCTTACCTGAGGATGTTTCTTTTTATTGATTTTTAGAGAGTGACAAAGGTGCACGTGGGGCCCTTTAAAAATGTGCCCACCTTGCCCTAACCTGGTGAGCACCCGCTACCTAGCACACACCTCCCTCCCCAGCCTGGCTGCCAAGGTGGTGGCTGCTTGTGCTGACCAGAGGTGATTCATGCTTCCCTGGCACCGGGCATTTGTTGCAAAGAGACACAGCCCTGATGAGAGCCAATAAATGAGACTCCGAGACTCAGTATTCCCTGGAGACAGTGCCTTCCAGACTTCCTTGGCCCCGAATGAGGGGAGTGGAGAGTGGGAGCCTCAGGAAGGGGCTGGATGATGAAGCGGCCGCTCATCCTGATGCTCAGGCACCATGCTACCCTCCGAGCTCTCCCAGGGGGCCTGTCCTGAGCTGCACAGAAGTGAGAAATGAGCTACACTGAGAGGCCTCTGACTCAGGGCTCCGTCTCCCTGCCCCCAAGCCTGGCCCAAGCAGAGCGTGTGAGGCCAAGTTGTCAAGAGAAGCCCTGTGCCTCCATGGCTGAGCTGAGGGGCTGAGAGGAAGGCCAAGGAGCTCTCATGGCACATCCCTCTTGACCTTGAGCCAACTTGTCCTGTGGTCGGTCAACAGATCACTCAGGGTTCCAGCAGAGCAGTCCCCACCAGGCACGCCAGGCAGGGGCTATCCTCTCAGAAGTCTGTGTCGGGGCCTGTGCACAAGGAATCCTGTGGTGCAAAGGGACAAGACAAGCTCTGCCTCCCAAAGCCCCTGAATTTGGGGAGGAAGGTACGAGCCCGGCATGCAGGTGCAGGAGGCCCTGTGTGGGGCCCCACCTGACAGCACCTGGAGAGAGAGGCCTCTGAGCAGGACCAGGTCAGACCCAGAGACAATCAGGACACTGAGGGGGCAAGTCCTGGGTTCAAATCCCACATGTACCACAGACACTTCACTTCTCCCTAAGCCTCCGTGTTCTCTTCTGGAGAAAAGATGAGGGAAGTGATACTTAACGTCTATCATGATTGTAAGGATGAAATGAGAGCCACACATAAATGTCTGTAAACTATAAAGTCTCATTTTTACTTTCTCAGAACAAAAAGTTCCTATGCCCGAAGCAGGCCCCCTGGATACAGTTACCGAAGAGGTTCCAACAGGACTTCCCCAGGGCTGCCCCGAGCGTGGTCACTGCCCCCGTCCCTCGCCTGCCCCTGTCCCTCACCCACAGCCAGCCCAGGCTCCAATCAGAAGGCTGTGATAAGCAGAAGGACAACCCTCCACCCTCGGAGCTGGGGTGAGTGAACCTTGCCCTGGAGGCTATCACAGTGCGACCGCAACACTGTCCTGGGCCACACCATGGCCGGCCCGCTGTGCCTCCTCCTGCTCGGTGCCTCCCTGGCCAGCCTCCTGTCGCCCGGGGGAAGTGGTAAGCACCCCTCAACCTCAGGCTACAGTGGTGGCCTCCTGGAGGAGGAGAAAGGGTGGGGAGCTGGGGTGATGCCCTTGAACCTCCACAGTGTAGATAGTGGGTGCCCGTCCCCTGTCAAAGGCTGACAAGACAGCTGGGCTTGGTGGTCTCAGCCAAGGTAGCTTAGGGCCAGGTGTGCCTCCCTGTGGGTGGAGAGTCAGACAGCCGGTCAGAGGTCATAAAGACAGATAGAAACACATCAGTAGAGGAAGAGGGAGAGAGACAGAGAAACACACACACACACACACACACACACAGAGACAGAGAGACAGAGGGAGAAAGAGAGGCAGAAAACAGGGAGGGGGAGATGAAGAAAGAGAGGGAGCGAAGGGAGAGGTGGCAGGTAAAGACAGAGAAAAGCCGCTTTCCTCTGCCAACAGGAGCTGGGGGAGAGGAGGGGAGGGGGTCGGTCCCAGGCAGAGAAGAGTGTCCATGGCAGGGAAGAGAATGAGTGAGAAGCTGGTGTTGCCACCCTCAGGCTGGCTCAGCCAGGGGGAGGGGCTGCCCAAGGCTGGCTCAGATGGGGGTGCCTTGACCTTCCAGGGCCCCAGGGCATGTCCCAAGAGAAAAGGCTCAGAAAGGAGAGAAGCAGAGCAAAGTCAGAAGAGAGAACAGAGGTGGCATCACCCCTGAGGTTTGTCTGCATCCTAGGTCAAGTGCAAGGACAGGAGCACTGAGGAGCAACCCAGGTGTGCAGGAGAGGAGAAAGCGGTACAAAGTCAGAAAATGAAAGAGAAAAGCAGAACAGGGAAGAGAGCCATGGAGAGGAATGAGAGGGGAGAAACTGGTGTGCGGATTTTATTTCAAAGTCAGCACTTGGTATTGAAGCAGATATTCGAAGTAATGGGGGAGGGGCCCAGAAATACTAGCGAGTTTGAGGCTGATGCTATTGGGGTAACACTGATATCACAAAAAGAAATGAGAAATTTCTAAGGGAACATGATTTGAGGTAGGAATGAAGCTAACCTTTATTGAGCACCTAATGTGTGCCGCACTGGACACTGGGAAGTGTATACACTCTTTAAAACAACTCGAAGAAGTAAGCCTATGTCTTGTAATTTGCATTTGCCAATATTAAGTAGTAGGTGACCAAGGTGTAATGGAAACTCAGGCCTTCTAGATTCTGCAGCACTGGCTGTGTGTTTTGGTTTTGGACATGGGGAGTTTGGAGTTTGAGATGAGGGGAGATATCCACCACGATGAGAGAGTTGAAAGCATAGAGCTGGGATGAAAGTTGGGACTAGCAATACCAACGTGGAGAGTATTATGGTGAAACTCTAAACTCTTCAGTGGAAAAAGAGAGAGGAGTGCAGAGGGCGAGGAAAAGAATCTGAGGGCCTCCTGTATCACAATGGAAAGAAGAAAGGAGTGGTGAGTGAGGGAGAGATAAGACTCAGGCAGAGAGTGGGGACAAGCCAGCTGCAGATAGAGACCACAGGGAGGACTCAGAGGCTCTCTGACCCAAGACGTTTTAACTGGCAGGTCACGACTCATTTGTGAGTCATGAGATCAATTTAGTGGGGTTTGCTTTTAATGAAAAATAACAGAATCAAGTAGAAAATTTTGTAATAAGTACTATTTTGTAGAAAATTATAGTAAATACTATTTCTTGAAACTTCTATTTTGTTTTTGTTATTGCTGTTGTTATTTTTCTTTGTAATTCTCACCTGAGGATATGTTTTTAGTGATTTGGGACAGAAAGGAAGAAAACGAGAGAGAGAGAGAGAGATCAACATCGATGTGAGAAAGAAACGTCAATTGCTTCCCATACGTGCCCTGACTAGGGTCGGAACCCACAACCTGAGTGTGTGCCCTGAATGGGAATCTAACTGCCACCTTCTGGTGTCCCGGACAACACTCCAACCAACTGAGCCACACCACCCGGGTTGAAACTTCTGGGGTTGTTTTGTTTTGTTTTGTTTTGTGCGTTTTTTAATCATCACCTGAGGATATTTTTCCATTGGATTTTAGAGAGTAGAAGAGAGAGAAATATCAATGTGAGAGAAACACATCAATTGATCGCCTCCCTCACACACTCCGACCACAGCCCAGGCCGGGGAGGAGCCTGCAACCAAGCATGTGCCCCCAACCGGAATTGAACTCAGGAGCCTTTGGTCCACAATCTGATGCTCTATCCACTGAGCCAAACCAGCTAGGGCAAAACTTCTGTTTTAATTTGTGTTTGGGAGTCCTGGGACTTGATATAAATCACCTATAATTGTAGATTGTGATCAAAACATATCACAACTCCCCACTGAACTCTGACCTACAGGGTGGGTGAGGTTCAGGGTGAGGACGAGAGTGGAGGGGCACAGCCTGAGCCAAAGCAGAGTGTAGTAGCTGGTTGGGGGGAGGGAGGTGACAGTGGCCTGGAACCACTCTGAGAAGGGAGAGTTCAGGAGAGGGGGTTTGCGGTGACCACCCTAAAGCTGGGTGTGAATGTGCAGGGAGGGTGGTAGTGGATTGGATGGGATGTGTCTACTTCTCCAGAAAAGGGTGTGTGGGGTCTAGAACAGGTACTGTATGTAACTCAAGGAGGAGTCAGGAGGGAGATGGGCGTTTCTTTCCCAGCTCCCTGGTGCCTGAGGAAGGAGTTCTCAGCCTTTTGCAGCAGGGAGGTGACCTGATAATTTGATAAAGTACTTTGTGTGCTTCCCTGTCTTCCAGTGTTCATCAAACGGGAACATGCTAACAGCATCCTGCACAGGGTCCGGAGGGCAAATTCATTATTTGAAGAGATGAAGAAAGGAAACCTTGAAAGAGAGTGTTGGGAAGAGACTTGCTCCTACGAAGAGGCCCGAGAAGTCTTTGGGGACACGGAGAAGACGGTAAGGGTTGGTGAGATGGGGAGACCAGTTGTGGACGGTGCTGGGCCTGAATGGAGATGCTGTCTGGCCCCGTTACCTGTCTATAAAGGCTGTCAGTGTCGCCCATGCTGGGCCTTCACTCCATGCCCTTCTGTGCTGTGGCCTCCGCCACAGAGAACAGCTCAGGAGAGGCTTTCTGGGGTGGGAGGTGGGGAACCTGTCTCCTGCCACTTGCAAGGCTTTCATTCCTGTTTCCTCGCCCACCACATATCTCCTTGTTTTGTGGGTAGGAAGCTGAGAAGAAGGTATGGCCAAAAATTGGTTATAAGAGTTATGAGAAGTTCTGAAGGTATTGTTAAATCTATTCTAAAACATAACAAGTTTATTTAAAATTATTCATGCCCTTGGCCAACACCTCCCTGGACTGGGACACACACACACACACACACACACACACACACACACACACACCGGAGCCATTGGGTTTTGCCCAGATCCATGGCCACAGCCATATTTGACGTCTGGCACCTGAGTTGCAGCCTTCAGAGCTATGGCGCACAGGCACACGACAGCAACGGCTTCCCTGAAAGTTGCTCATGAGCCTCACCCACCTTGGGTAGGGCCCAGGGGAAACATGGCCACCATGAGGACTTGAGGTGGCAGTGAATGGTGGCGAGTGAAACTGGGCAAGAATGAACTAAAGACACTTGAAAGCTGAAGAGAAAGTAGCAGAGAAGGAGGCCAAGCAGCAGCTCCGAGAGAGACAGGTAGGCCCGGCTGCTGCCACCACCACCACACCACTGACAACTGACAGTGGACCCGCCATCCCCACTGCAGGACCCCCATCCAGACTTCAGGACCTCCCCATCCACACTGCAGGACCCCCATCCACACTGCAGGACCCCATCCACACTGCAGGACCCCCATCCACACTGCAGGACCCCACCCATACTGCAGAACCCCCATCCACACTGCAGGACCCCATCCACACTGCATGACCCCCACCCACACTGCAGGACCCTATCCACACTGCAGGACCCCCATCCACACTGCAGGACCCCCCATCCACACTGCAGGACCCGCCCATCCACACTGCAGGACCCCCCCTTCCACACTGCAGGACCCCCACCCACACTGCAGGACCCCCCATCCACACTGCAGGACATGCCCATCCACACTGCAGGACCCGCCCATCCATACTGCATGACCCCCATCCACACTGCAGGACCCCCATCCACACTGCAGGACCCTATCCACATTGCAGTACACCCATCCACACTGCAGGATCCCCATCCACATGCAGGACCCCCATCTACATGCAGGACCCCCATCCACACTGCAGGACCCCCACCCACACTGAAGAACCCCCCATCCACACTGCAGAACCCCCCTTCCACAGTGCAGAACCCCCATCCACACTGCAGGACCTCCATCCACACTGCAGGATCCCCATCCACACTGCAGGACCCCTATTAACACTGCAAGACCACAGTTGAGCTCCCACAACATGCTGAGTGCTGAGGAGACCCGCACCAAACAGGCTCCATGTAGACCTGCTCGCTTGCTGCACCTGCAGACCACCTGACCAACTTCACCTTAAGGGGTATGTAGTCTCTATGCCAGAAGTGCCCAGGGAGGTTCATCTTCTGTGCCCTTCGAAGTGCCAAGTCATGGCCAATTCAAGGAATTTTAAATCAGAAGAAGAATTTCTTTATATTGATAATAAACTGCCTCGGGAGACATAATTGGAGTTCGAGAGAATCCTGGAAAAAAGAAGGGTTTGCAGAGCGTCATTCTCCACAAAATGACACTGTTGCCTCAATGCTCATATATGTCACCTAATCCTCACTTTGGCCTCAAAGACAAAGAAACACATCATTGGAGATACTTGGGCTTGGACCTGAATGACTTTGCAAAGAAGAAATTTATCATCCACAGTAATAGCATCACATGTATAAGAAGATTTTGGTAAGTTGGGATTCCTAGACATTGAAATTCCTAGGATGAATGCCATCTCTAGTGGAGATGTGCCCAAGTTTTTTGTCACCTCGCTAAATAAGCTGGACATGAACTTACATATAAGAATTGCTCCAGAACTCTGCCATAAGATGGTGGTGAGCAGTGGCATTGTCCCGGTTTGTGAAATTGAATGCCAGTTCCAGATGATTTGACTCTAATTCACCACCTGTGAATTTCACATTGCCTCTACAGATCATGATGATCTCCTGAAACCATGGAGATTATGTCAGGGATGGTGAAGCACATTACAGACAAGATCACATCCACCATCCCAATGGCCCAGCAGGCCAAACCCATCAGACTGGCTTCACCCCATCTACAGAGTCAGCATGGTAGAAGCACGTGAGAAAGCCCTCTGAGGAACTAGCCTGCCAGGAACAAACCTTCTTCAAAACTGAAGAAACTAAAAAAAAATTCTTAATAATACCTGTGTGGCAAAAGCTATTGAATGTCCTTTACCTCAGGCCACAGCTAGACTCTTTGATAATCTTGTCAGAGAGTTCCTTAAGTGAGTCGCAGAAATCCCATATTCATTTGTGATCACCCACCGATAGAGAGATGTTTGGCCAAACGGACCACTCTGGGTCTCACTGAGCACTTTGAGCTATTTGTCACGAAGAAGGAAGTGTGCAGTACTTACAATGACTTAAACAGTTCCATGCAGCAGCAAGCAGTTTTTTAAAGAACAAAACAGAAGCATCTGAGACCTTGCTTCCTGGCAACTACCATCAGTTTTGCCTCAAATAAACCCTTAAAATTTTTGAAGGAAGAGAGAGACGGAGGAAGGAGGGTAAGGAAGAGCAGATCAAAGGCACTGATGAGGAGGAGGCCGTGTTCATAGATGAAAAGCTCTGTACTGCCATGGAATGCCCACAGCTGGCTGGGGCTTGGGTAGTAACCACATCACATCACCATGTTTCTCACAGTCTCCAGTAACATTACAGAAGCACTGTGTTTCCTCCCGTAAAACCTGAAGCGAGGAAGGAGAATGTACCAACCACTAATACATTGGAAAACACACTTGGCACTTCTGTCTAGAAAATAGTCACTGTAAATTGTGGGACTCAGACATCTTTGTATTTCTGCAAAAGATCAAGGTCTGCAAGGGATTCGTGTATGTTTCTATCCGTTTGACCACCAGTGTTCATTTCAGCCACCAGAAGAGTGAAGAGGCATTGAGAATTCATTTTCACGCCTTACCAAATACATGATTAGTCTATTTTTAAAAGTTATTCATAATTTCAAGAACTATTTTCACTTTTAAATGCTCTTCGAATTCACATACGCAGTTTTGTGTATGAAATACATACACAAAATATTAATGAATATTTGTAATTCCAATCCAAGTTTAGGTACTACTTTTTTCTCAGCATCATTTCCCAAACACTCTTCCTTACTTCTATATATAGCTACCTGCCGAAACTGGTTTGGCTCAGTGGATAGAGCATCGGCCTGCGGACTGAAAGGTCCCGGGTTCGATTCCAGTCAAGGGCATGTACCTGGATTGCGGGCACATCCCCAGTAAGAGGTGTGCAGGAAGCAGCTGATCGATGTCTCTCATCGATGTTTCTAACTCTCTATGTCTTTCCCTTCCTCTCTGTAAAAAACCAGTAATATATATTTAAAAAACAACAACATATATATGTGTGTGTGTGTGTACATACATACCATACTTACAATCTTAAAGACCTAAATTAAAATCTATTGTATCAACACATTTACTTCTTTCCCATTTTGGCCATATAAGTTGTTTTCATATTACTATTATGAAAACATGCACATGCATAGTTCTTCTGGATTATCTCCTAAGAAGAGCAGTTGCTCCAAAGAGGATTACTGGATCAAAGGTTAGCAACAAGTCTGGTTCCAAGTAATATGGAGAAAGCACACTCTACCCTGTCTCCCACTGAATGTAACTACAAAACCTGGGTAGACTGCATGGAGCCGCTATTTGAGGGCCCTGAAAATTAAATAGCAGCAGTCACTGAAGAAAAAGAGAATTCAAAGTACCACAGAATTGTGAGTTTATCATTTGTATCCCCTGCAGTTCTCCAGACATCACTCGACCTGAATCTAACTGATAATTGTGCGATTCCCAACGGTCCTGTGGCAAACCCCCTCTCCTCAAAGTTCCAAGCATCCACCAAACTTTCTACAAGATAGGCCATACCCTGTGTCCTAAAAACACATCTTAACAAATGTTAAAGATTGAAAACATATAAAAGGTTATCTGACCATAATGAAATTAACCAAAAATCAATAACAGGAAAATGTCTACGTATTTGGAAATTAAACAGCACACAGCACACTTCTAAATAATTTGTGGGTCAAAGAGAAAGTCTCAAAGGAAATTAGAAAATATTTCCAGCTGAACAAAAACGAACATACAACATAGTTCTTCTAGGGGAACTTAAGGCATTAAGGTTTTTATTGGAAAAGAAGAAAGGTCTCAAATTGATATTCTAAGCTTCCACATTAAGACACTAAAAATAAATAAATCAATAAATAAATGAATAAACAAACAAACAAATAAATAAAGCAAAATAAAACCACAAACACCACAGGTTCGACATTAAGGTGTCACCAGGGTTTGTTCCTTCTGGAAGACCTGAGGGAGAATCTGTTCCACGCCTCTCTTCTAGCTTGAGGGAGAATCTGTTCCACGCCTCTCTTCTAGCTTATGGTGGCTGCCAACAATCCTTGGCATTCCTTGGCTTGTGGATGCATCAGTGTGTCTGTGTCCTTTTCTGTCTCTTATAAGGACCCTCTCATTGATTTGGGGTCCAGCCTAATCCAGTAGGATCTCATCTCAATTGATACCTTACTTATATCTGCACAAACCTTATTTCCAATTAAAGTCACATTGTGAGTTTACACCTGAATTTGGAGGGTTGGGAGACACTATTTAACCTACTATAGACAGAAAAAATTTTTTTTAATCTATGAACATTTTTTAGTTAATGTAGGATCTTGATGCCCTGATTTAATTACCAATTATCATTTTCTAAATTACCATGATTATTAACCAATAATTCATTTCTTTATTGAATCTTTGACCCAAATATTTCAACTAAAAACGATTTACTGGAGTAGCAAACAGAGCAAAGCATTTTTGGTACAATCCATTTCTTGGAGATTCACTTGAAAATACACTTTCAATATTCAACAGAGATGGTGATTGAGCCATCTGCACCTTTATAGATACAGAAGATTTAAAAAACTTTCCCGTTTAGATTGAATAGTTCTAGAGCAATTTGTTTCAGAAAATGACCTCTGTTTGGGAAAGTATCCTATTCAAGTTGAATTATTGTAAAATGTCTGTGCTTTCCCTAATGTTCTTTAAAATATTTTTTCTCTTTTAGAATGAATTCTGGAATATATACAAAGGTGAGATGTATGGTATTTTAATCTTAAGTGAGAGGAGTTCATTAGGATATTTAAGTTGGGAGAAATTGTGTTTGAACTTTGAAAATGCTTGCTGAATTGCCTTTCTGTTCCTGTTTAAATCCTATGTATTTAACTTGTTCTGTCTGAGCATTTTTAAGTTATTGTAAAATAGTTTTTTATAGTAACTTTATACTAATTCTAATGTTGCCACTTACATATAGACTTAAATCAGTATATTCTCATTTTAGAATACCAAATTTAGTGATAATTTTAAAAATCCAAGTATATTAGAAAAAAATAGAGTCGGAAAGATTGGACCCTATAATAAGGTAGCCACCTTGAGTCAACCCTTATACCACCTAAAATGGCATTAATCCTGACTAATGTTTTCATTCTGGCAACACCATTCAAATTTCTCAAAATGACTATTGGACTTATCTCTAAATTAGATTGTACAAATGCACCAAGAAATGTGAAGTCCCGTGTTGATGCTGGGCAGTTGTCTCTGCATTCTCACTTTACCCCCAGAGCATTTGGAAACAGGAGCCCTAACATCTCTGTTGTCCAGTGTCAGACAATCACGTCTTCTCCTTCCACATGGTCCCATGTAGTCACCTCCTGGAGCTCTTCACTCTAATGTAAAAATGCTGTCAAACATTTCAGCAAAAACTGGAAAGCTCAGCCAATGATCCAGTAAGATAAGAGCATCACGTACACAGAGCCACAAAAGGTGAGGATACAGTGAAGTTCAGTTAGGAGAAATTGTTTACAGGGAAACAGGAAGAAGTCCACGTTCATTCGAGTTATCTGAAAAATGTGTGCCAAGATCAACACAGCAAAGTCATCTCCATGGTGATGGAAATTGCCCGCAAGCTTCGGTTTCCAAACCCTTTCTTTGCAGATGGTGACCAGTGTGAAAGCAATCCCTGCCTGAATCAGGGCAGGTGTAAGGACGGCCTTGGGGAATACAACTGCACTTGTCAGGAAGGATATGAAGGCAGAAACTGTGAATTACGTGAGTTCCTCTTCTTGGTAGGCCTTCAAGTCCGAGTTACCTGAAGAATCGAATGTGGGAAAGAGGGGAAAAGTCAAAATGTCCAAGGGAACAACCTCATGTCACTTCTGATGTCGAGTCTGTGCTCCATTATGAAGGGCCACTGTAGTCACAGAAAACAACAAAAATTAAGGGCCCTACAATCCACTCAGTGTTGGAGTTCAGTGAAACACACAGTCACCTCTCCGTTCCTCTGAGAGAGGCTGTGGAACATTCATGAAGCATGTGGTCCACTAACAGAGAAACGAGAATTGACTTCCTTCTTGGAGTAGAATGTATCCCTCATCGTTGTTACTTATATTCCTTGTGGTCCTGGGCAATGATTCTAAATCACCACACCTTTCATTTATTAGTGCACGTGCCAATACTAACTGTTAGGGATTGTCCAATTATAAAAATTTGAAACATTTAATTAATCTTACTTGGAAAAGTCACTAGGAGTTTTCCTAATATGCTGGTTAATTTTTAAATAAAAATTAGCTTTAATATTAAACCGGATTTCCCTAAAGAGAAAGATTTGCTTTTCTTTTAAATTACTTAATTTGTAATCTTTGGAATGTGCTCTTGAATTTGATTACTTCAGAATTTTCTCTGCCGGGAATATCAATTAGGCATCGTTTCATCCCAATCCAGAGCTGCCGCTCTTGCACACCTTTTGGCTCTGACCCCAGGGCCATGCTGAATGTTTTCTAAAGTTTCATTAACATTGATCTTTGCACTATAATTACTTTTTCATCAAAACCCACATGCGGAGTGTAAACGGCCAGGGTAGCATCACTGATGTGAGTTTGGAGGTTGAGTTCAGTGCACACAGGAAGCAGGTGGGTGATTCTGGCTCAGGCAGAGCTGCGGATCTGAGGTCCAGGGTGACACGACTTCACACGGACATGGGGCAAGAGCTTCCCGTGACCCGTGAGGTTATCCTGTGAGGTGGTACGGCCTCCACCACTTTACAAGTGAGGAAACCCAGGCCCGTAGGTTGAAATAACTTGCTCAAATCACACAAGTGACAGAAGGACCAGTTTGGCACTCAGGTGGCCTGCCTCCAGGATGTGCACTGCCTGTTTCGTTTCTTCTTCCCACCGCACTGGGGCCCAGACCCCAGTCTCTGTGACCCTTATTACACAGGGACTCTTCTAGCCTCAGAGTGGGTGGGCCGCTGGCCACTCCGCCAGGCTCCTCCTGAGCCCCTGGCCCGGAGCCCACCCTCCTGCAGGGAGCCCTTCCAAGCTGGTCAGGACCCATGTGCCTTCTTAGCGCTGAACTTAAGACCCTTCTAGCTTCCAGGGCCCTCACTGGCCACGTTCAGATTATTTAAGGACCTCCTGGAAGGCTGGTGCCGGGGCCCAGCAGATACTAAGTTCTCGCCCTAACTGTACGCCATGGTTTCCCCAGGCAGCCTGGGCAGTGAGAAGACCACACGCACAGGCATGATCCTCTCACCCCACCAGCTGCTCTGGGCAGCCCATCCTGATTGCACCAGCTGATGTGCATGGGCCATGTGGCTCCGGCCTTTTGTTCTAGCCAGGTGGCTGCTGTAGGGCTCACGGTGGGTGTATGTCCCCCTGGGGCTGCTGTCCTTCCTCCCGGCCAGCTGCAACCTCAGTTTCCCCAGCCTGTCCTGAGAACCAACATGCGTCCCTTACAGCCATGCGAAAGTTCTGCAGCCAGGACAACGGGGACTGTGACCAGTTCTGCAGAGAGGAGCAGAACTCCGTGGTATGTTCCTGTGCCAGCGGGTACATCCTGGATGACAATGGCAAGTCCTGCATCTCCACAGGTAGGAGGCGCATGGGGCCACTCCACCAGGGCTCCCTGAGTCAGAGAGGCCAGTGCAGGACAGCTGGAGGAGCCGGGGTGGGCCGCAGATTTGGAGACATACCCCTGTTTCTGGGAGCTGCGTGAAAAGTTGGGCCGACGATATTACCTAACTGCTTAGTAAATGTGCAAATTAAGAGAGCAATGCATGGAGGGCACTTTGCACAGTGCCTGATTCGCAGCAAACTCTATGTAAATGAGTGTGTGGAGGCCTGATTTGTACCCCTGGGTAGGACAGGAGGCTTGGGAGACTGGGAGTTACAATGAACCAAGATGAGAGTGCAGGCGGCTGAGGGCAGCCAAGGCCTGACTGTAGGAGATGGGGAGTTAGAAAGAGGGGAGCCGAAGCCCCTCGAGAACTAATTTAGGCCCTAGCTGGTCTGGCTCAGTGGACAGAGTGTCAGCCTGTGGACCAGAAGGTCCCAGGTTCGATTCTGGTCAAGGGTACGTACCTCAGTTTCAGGCTCCTCCCAAGCCCGGACCCTGGTTGGGGCTCGTGCAGGAGGCAACCAATCGATGTGTTTCTCTCACATTGATGTTTCTCTCTGTCTTTCCCTCTCTCTTCCACTTTCCCTAAAAATCAATGAAAAAATATTCTCGGGTGAGGATTAACAACAACAAAAAAGAACTAATTTAGGTTGTGTGGGCCTCGATGTTAATCAAATTTATTTATTATTTTCCTTGATAAAAGCCGGACACGATGAGTCTGGCCTAGAAGCTCAGGAGGGATTGGCCTATTAAGGGGCTGAGTACAGGCCAGGCCCCTGGGGTCTCGCACACTGTAGAAAGGTCCTCCTGTGCTGCAGGGCCAACCTGGAGCCAGCGGTGCTGAGGCGCCACTCCGTTCTCTCAGTCTCACAAAGGCACCAACTTGTTTTTCAAAGCCAGGTTCCCTGACTGATCCACAGCTTCAGCATCAACTGTTCGAGGGGGGTCAGTGAGGGTGAGGGTGTACAAATACAAAGTCCCAGGCCCACTCCACAAGACAGGAACATTCCAGAATGACTGCAATTAGATAACATCAACTCTCTCAACAAGTAAAAGAATATATCATTTACATCTCCATTGGTAATGAGATTTATAAACTTATGCTGATTCAACAATAGGGGGTAGACTGTAACATGCACGCAAATTTTGTTTAAATTCCAGGAATAATTACAAATCAATTTAATGAAGTGTGATATTTGGGGGGTGGAGGGGATCAGGTAAACTACTTCCTAATTCAGTATTTCAAAATACAGTGATTACAATTATCAACACCGAACTCTTTATCTCCAGCTAACACAGCACAAGTCTGCTGGGGGTGGGGAGGGCTCCTTTAGATCCTGCTGGAGCCCTTGCAAACACTAAAAAGAACTACATTCTGCTTATCTGATTTTAGGCAAACCTACCGAGGCAGAGAGGAGCCATCTGTTTTCTTTTTTTCCCTTTTTTAAATAAATCTTTATTGTTCGGATTATTAGTTGTTCCTCTTTTTCCTCCCATAGCTCCCCTCCACCTGGTTCCCACCCCACCCCCTACACTTACCCCCGCCCCCCCCCCGCCCCTCATTGTACTCGTCCATAGGTGTATGCTCTTTGGCCAGACTCTTCCCGCACCCCCCTCACTCCCTTTCCCCCGAAAATTGTCAGTCCACTCCCTTTCTATATGCCCCTGATTCTATTCTATTCACCAGTTTATTCTGTTCATCAGATTATTTATTCACTTGATTTTTAGATTCACTTGTTGATAGATGCGTATTTGTTGTTCATAATTTGTATCTTTACCTTTTTCTTCTCCTTCCTCTTCTTAAAGAATACCCTTCAGCATTTCATATAATACTGATTTGGTGGTGATGAACTCCTTTAGCTTTTTCTTGTCTGTGAAGCTCTTTATCTGACCTTCAATTCTAAATGATAGCTTTGCTGGGTAGAATAATCTTAGTTGTAGGTTCTTGCTATTCATCACTTTGAATATTTCTTGCAACTCCCTTCTGGCCTGCACAGTTTCTGTTGAGAAATCAGCTGACAGTATGGGTACTCCCTTGTAGGTAACTGTTTTTCTCTTGCTGCTTTTAAGATTCTCTCTTTGTCTTTTGCCCTTGGCATTTTAATTAAGATGTGTCTTGGTGTGGTCCTCATTGGATTCCTTTTGTTTGGGGTTCTCTGCACTTCCTGGACTTATAAGTCTATTTCTTTCACCAGGTAGGGGAAGTTTTCTGTCATTATTTCTTCAAATAGGTTTTCAATATCTTGCTCTCTCTCTTCTTCTGGCACCCCTATAATTCGGATGTTGGTACGCTTGAAGCTTTCCCAGAGGCTCCTTGCACTATCTTCATATTTTTGTATTGTATTATTTTTTCCTTTTGCATTTCCAGTTGGGTGTTTTTTGCTTCTTCATATTTCAAATCTTTGACTTGATCTTGGGAACCTCTAGTCTGCTGTTGGATCTCTGTATATTATTCTTTATTTCAGTCAGTGTATGCTTAATTTCTAATTGGTCCTTTTTCATATCCTTTTGGGTCTCACTATATTTCTCAGAAGATTCTAGAAGATTCTTGAGTAGCCTTATAACCGTGGTTTTGAACTCTATATCCAGGAGTTTGCTTTCCTCCATTTCTTTCATTTGTGACCTGTTTCTTTGTCTCCCCATTTTGGCTGCTTTCCTGTTTTGATAGAGTGGCTTTCTGTGCTAGGTGTCCTATAGAGCCCAGTGGCTCAGCCTCCCTAATTACCTCAGGTGGAAAATCTTGTTGCACCCCTTTGTGGGCTGTGTGCACAGTCTGGTTGTAGTAAAACCTTGAATGCTGTTGGTGTCACTGGGAGGAATTGACCTCCAGGTCAATTGGCTGTGAGGACCAGTTGTGTCTACATGGGAGAACTTCTGTGCAGGAGACACCCTTATGGGGCAGGACTTGCTTCAGTGGGGATTTAGCGCTCACTGAGTCTGCCCCCTGAGTGTGTCTCTTATGGATGTTAAGAGTTGTAATCTGGATGGTCTCACTCTGTCCACTGGGTAGACTGGCTATTGGATCTCCAAGGGGGTGCAAAGTCACCCACTGCCTGAGGCCACCCAACAGAAGCTACAGAGAGATCTGCAGATTCCTCCTCTTTGTTAGGGGTTTGGAGGTGCCCAGATGAGGCTCAGCTGTGAAGTAATGCAGGCTGCTGACAGCCTTAGGCCTTTTGGAACCTCTGGGTTTCTCTGACTCAGCTGCAGTTTGACAGGTTTTTAGGGGGAGAAAGGCCAGGCCATTAGTATGCAAAAGTCTCTGGGCACAGCTTGGGTGGGGTGTGGTCTCAGGGAGTCATGGTGCAGTGCAACAGCTATGGTTGCCATCAGCCCTCCCCCGACAGGTCCCTGGGTCTCTATGTCCCTCCGCCCTGTGCAGGAACAATGAACACTGCAAGCTCCTGCGAGAAAGCCACCCTCACGTTCCGGCCCTATGCCAGACAGTACAGTTTCGCTCCTGATAAGTCTGGGTCCCCAGATTCTCACCCAGAACTGGATTTCAGAGCAGTCAGGAGCTTATATCTCCCTCCCGGTTGAAAAAGACAACAGCGTACCCAGCTGCCAGCCCCTTTCACGCGAGCCTCCATACCTCCACACTTCCACACCTCTGCACCTCCTACTAGACTCAATGCGCTTTTCTCTTTCCTTCTAGTTGTAAAATTTCCACTCAGCCAGCCTTCCCGTGGTTCTGGATGCTATTCGTTTTGTCTTTTAGTTGTAGTTCTAATGTGGTTGTGCGCAGCAGGGAGTCCAGGTGTTTACCTATGTCACCACCTTGGTTTTCCTCTGTTTTCTGATGGGCCTCCATACCTCTCCCTTTCTCTGTCCAGTGTTGGCCCCTCTCTCCGCCTCAATTCCTTAGTTGGTAATAATACAGAAAGGAAGCTTTCTGGTATTTGCTGACATCTCCCCTGAGCTTGATGATTTTAAGGGTAGACATCCCTGTTAGACATTATCATACAAAGCCTTGTTGTGCAGTGCTCCTTCTTATGCCTCAGGTTGTTTGCATATGTTGTCCCTTTTCCCAAGAACAATTTAAAACAACAACAACACAATATTTCATTAGAAAATGTTTTCACACACAGCAGGGTTGACAGGATTTGACAGTGAGCACCCCTATGTGCCTACCTGGGTTCTGCCATTAACCTCTTTGCTTGTTTCATCGCCTGCCTTCCTCTCTGTGTCCTCTGTCCACTCTCAGCCTCTGTAGTATGTGGGTGCATTTTCCAAGTAGCTTGCAGACATCCCCTTCAATGCTTCAGCATCCTGGTCAGCCCCAGAGCCGGTGTCTGCAGCAGGTCCTGTAGGTGAGACTGATACACAGTGGGGCACTGACGGGAAGGGCACTTTCCCTGCATCATGACATGACGTCCACCTTGTAATGCCACGGAGATCATGACACAGGGCACTCCGCACCCAAAAAGTTCCCCACACCCTTCCCAGTTACCAAGCATACACTTCACGCTTCCCCAACTGCAGTTCTCCAGGCCCTCTGACCCGACCCATAACCTTGGGGGTCAGACCCTCTCTCTCTCTCTGGCCTCCCTATGCCTCCTGCTGCTAATGAACTGTTCATGCGGTGCAGGGAGGGTTTCATTTTGCTGAAGCCCCAGGCCATTGGTTTTTCTTCCAGAGCCTTATCCCTGTGGGAAACTCACTCTGCCACAGAGGAGGAGGCCGGGGTCCCTGACCACCCACAGCAGCGAGGATCCCCCACAAGACAGTGGAGACCTGGATCCCACCACGAACCCTTTCAATGGAAACCTGGATCCAACCACAAACCCTTTCTATGGAGACCTGGATCCGACCACAAACCCTTTCTATGGAGACCTGGATCCCACCACGAACCCTTTTGATGGAGACCTGGATCCCACCACGAACCCTTTCGATGGAGACCTGGATCCCACCACAAACCCTTTCGATCTGCCGGGCTTAAATAACACAGAGCCGAACTCTGCAGAGGAGGAGAACTCACGTGTCAGGATAGTGGGAGGGAGGGACTGCAAAGATGGCGAGTGTCCCTGGCAGGTAAGTGCTGAGCACGTTCAGTGAGTTAACTGGATGGGCGACCCATTCTGGCTGGCATTGCAGGAACAGCCATGGAGGCCAAGGCTGGGATCATGATGCCCACGCACACATGTGGACCCTCAGCAGGCTTTGAGCTCCCATGCTGAAGGAACGTGAGATGAGAAGGAACTGGGCCCTTGCCTACACACTCCACCCCTGCTGCCCATTCCCATCCCATGCTCAGGATCTGAGCCCAAATCCTTTCCTACAGTAGAAGGAGAGATGGGGTGCCAGCTGAGGCCTTGGATGAGCAGGTAAAGGGCAGCTCCCCTGATTGTGGGTGAGGTCTCTGCTTGCTTTTCTGTTTGACTGGAGGCAGAAAGATGTACTCTCCTTGTTCCATATCTAATTTGGTAAAACTTTTTATTGAAACACCTAAATTCTAATGAGGCAGAGAGTACCTTGGAGCAGTGGTTCTCAACCTGTGGGTCGCGACCCCTTTGGGGGTCGAACGACCCTTTCACAGGGGTCGCCTAAGACCATCTTGCATACCAGATATTTACATTATGATTCATAACAGTAGCAACATTACAGTTATGAAGTAGCAATAAAAATAATTTTATGGTTGGGTCACAACATGAGGAACTCTATTTAAAGGGCCAGAAGGTTGAGAACCACTGCCTTAGAGAAAAATACATCCATTTGTTATCAAAGGTAAAAAAAAGAAAAAAAATCCTTTTGTTGTTCATTTGGACTAAGGTTGGCAGATTTAGCAAATAAAAACACAGGACTTCCACTTAAATTTGAATTTCAGATAAGCAATGAAAAATTTTTAATGTAAGTATATACCAGATATGACTTAGGACATGCTATTATACCAACAATTATTTGCAATTCATTTGGTTCCAATTTAACTGGATGTCCTCTGTTTTATCTGGCAATCCTAACTTGGACTTAATACATTTTTAGTGTTCAAAGCCAAAATGGCTTCTCCTACAAGCAAAATCCCAGAGCTGCCAATTACCTCAGCTCACCCTCATCTGCAAGCTACAGGACAGCTATGCATTTGTCTGAATTATCAAGAGCCAATACAGGACATTTCAACATCTAGTCATCATTCACCCCACGTGTATTTATGGGGAACTTGCATGTCCGGCATAGAGTTGGGGTTGTGTGTGTAGACTATGAGATCATCAGAGCTGTTTCTCTGACATGTGGACATCTAGATCTGGGAAGGGAGGTGAGGTCCACCCAAATGACCACAATTCAAGTTGATGTGATAAAGGCCACGAAGGTGGTACCAGTGGGTGTAGAACGAAGTTCCACTGGGAAGACTAGGACAAGCGCCCACCAGGTGGAGGTGTCAGCTCTGGGGGTGGTTTTAGATGGGACTTCAAGGGCAGAGAGGACAGGGAAGGGGACTGGGCAGAAGGATCCTCACCAGCCGGTTCCTCGATGAGTCTGTAGAGATTCATGATTCTTGCTCTCCTGGTTCCAGTCTGCACAAGTTGCCTCATCTCCATCTTTAAGAAGAACAGATGATGTCCAGTCTTAGAAAGACTGGCTCGCCCTCACTCATCACCCAAGTTGTATTAAGAGTTAATAAATTATACCAAAAAAAGGGGGGCAAAGAAGTCTCCTGACTTATGATGGTTCGACTTTTACAATGTTATAAAAGCGATACACATTGATCTTTCCCGGGTTCTCGATGTGCTATATGATACTCTCTCCTGATGCTGGCAGTGAGCCCAGCTGGGTGATCAAGAGGGTAAGCAACCAGTACTTCACAGTGTCTTTGACTATTGCATTCTGAGCACCTTTAAGGTGGGTTAGGATAAGCTATGATATTTAGTAGGTTAGGTGTATTGAATGCATTTTTTACTTACCATATTTTCAACTTACAATGGGTTTTTTAGGACGTGACCCATCATAAGTCAAGGAACATCTGTACTACATACCAGACAGGAACATCTTCAAGAATTCTTTTAGAACTTGATGTTATTTGTTTCATTTACCCACACATATCCCCAGCCAATAACTGTTGCTTAAAGGATGTGGAATTCCCATAATAAAGGGGAGAGAAAAATGCTCCATCTCTGTATTTGCAAGCTCAGTTCTTTGGGAGGAAAGAAATATAGGAGAATTTTGTGTGGTGACTTTCACTTGCCCCATCAATGCTCACTCCCAGGTGGAATACTCCTCACCCCCAAATCCAAAATCAGGGTGAAAACCCCTTACAGAAGTAGGCACATAGATTCCACAGAAATTAACCTTGACGGTGGCCTTCCATGGGCTGTGGGAGATTGGCTTGAATAGTGGATCCCTTCTAAGCCCACAAGTCACACCAGTGTAGGCAAGCATTTGTCCACAGACTGGCTTCTGCCTGGTCTTGGGCATATACTTCATAGCCACAGAGACAATAAAGGTCTTCAACGCAGTGACAATTGTTTATCTGTGCATAACCCTTTAGAGAGTTCTGTGACAGAACCAGAAGAAATAAAAGACTAGTCATTGTCAGAGTGAGTTTGTAGACCAGGCGGGGAAAAAGGTAGGTAAATTGTGACACAACTCTACTCAGTGGCTAGCACTTGCCACTTAGTAGGGCCCCAGCAAATGTCTGTAGAGTAAATGAATAAGTGGGTCTGTTGCCTGGTGGGTAGAGCAAAGACCAGAAGGCATGAGATGCTGCCCACACCCGTGCTGTGGAATCAGGGAGTGGTGGGTTGGGAGGAGATGGGAAGGTGGGCTGGGGTCAACCGTGAGCCACCTCTTGGAGAGAGAATGTGCCAGGGTCTAGGACTGAATGGCCAGGGGAACAGGTTTGGTAATGCAAGCTCAGGTCTACAGGACTGGCCATGTTGGGCCATAGCCCGAGTGATCAGGTGAACACTGTAGGTGTGCTGGTTCCGGCCTTGTGTTCCAGTCTGAAGATGCCACAGCTCTCTCCTTGGAAAGGGCAGTGGGGTGGGGGTGGGGGGGTAGGAGTGGGGGTGGAGAAGGCTCAGGTGAGCACACCAGCTATAGGAGGGAGATGCCCTGATCCAGGCAGAAGCAATGAAGAGGAAGGCTTGAATTACAGGTTCGAAATTTCTCTTCTCAGAGTCAAGTTCAACCTGTTTGGCCCTGGCTTTCTCATTGCAGGCTCTGCTCATCAAGGAGAACAATGAAGGCTTCTGTGGAGGCACCATCCTGAATGAGTTCTACATCCTCACTGCCGCTCATTGTCTTAACCAAGAAAAGCCATTCAAGGTGAGGGTAGGTAAGTGGCACCACACCCCTCACCCTTGCAGGTCCCACTGTCATGGCCTAATTTTCAGAGACCATTAGAACTGATCAAATTTGTTGAAAACACTAGATAAAATTAATGGAATCCAGGCTGGGGGTGCTTGGGGGGAGTTTCACAGATGAGGAAGAGAAGGGACAAAAGGAGAAGGAGGGAAAGAGAGGGCGGGGAGAGTAAGGAGGAGGGGGAGGGGGAGGGAGAGGAGAGCTATAAGGAGGAGGGGTAAGAGAAGGAGGGGAAGG